ATTTCACACCATCATTATCATCATCATCATCATCTTCTTCTTCTTTCTCTTCTTCTTTTTTATTCTTTTGATTGTATTTTATAGTTTCTTGATGTTTCATGGGGCAGCTAGATGGTGTAATAGAGTGTCAGCCTTGGAGTCAGCAGGACTTGAGTTCAAATTTGGCCTCAGCCACTTACTAGCTGTGTGACCTTGGGCAAATCACTTAACTCTGTTTGCCTTAGTTTCTTATCTATAAAATAAGCTGAAGAAGGAAACTCTAGTATCTTTACCAAGAAAACCATAATGGGGTCCACAGAATTGGACATAACTGAAACAACTGAACAACAGATGTGTCATGGAGTCATTAGCTCTTACTTGCACAATTCTAATTTTTAAGGAATTATTTTCTTTGGTGAACTCATACCTCATTTCCCCCTTTAGCCAATTCTGCTTTTTAAGGCATTCTTGCTAGTGAATTTTTGTACATCTTTTTCCATTTGGCTAATTCTGATTTTTAAGGAATTCTTCTCTTTGGTGGATTTTTGTGCCTCTTTTACCATTTGGCCTATTTTTTTTTAAGTTATTATTTTCTTCAGAATTTTTTGGTGCCTCCTTCACCAAGCTATTGACTCTTTTTTCATCATTTTCTTATAGCATTCTCATTTCTTCTTCCAATTTTTCCTCTACCTCTCTTATTTGATTTTTAAAATATTTTTGAACTCTTGTAGAAATTCTTTTTGGGGCCTGAGACCAATTTACATCTTTCTTTGAGGCTTTGGATGTAGCTGTTTTGACTCTGCTGTCTTCCTCCCACTGTGTTCCACTCTCACCCTGGTGTGACAAACCTTTTCTGCCAACCTTCTAAATTGTCTTGGGCTGGAAAATTGTTTTACCCCATCCTTTTGTTAACTTTGCTCCTCCAGCATTTATTTTGAGGTTTTTTTTTTAGCATTGTTTTCTGGAGTCCAAAATTGTCCAATCTCCAAGAAAAACCACTGAGGCAGAACTCTGAGCCAATAACCATTTATTAAAGGGACCAGACCCCTTCAATGAATCTGAGGTCCCACTCAGATCTTCCTCTCCACAAAACAATCTTTTAGGCAAATGTACATTTGACATTCAAATAACTTGGTCAGCCCATTAGAGCTGCACTCTCTGCAGTAGAGTTTGAATACTTGGCAGTTTATTTCAAGAAAGGATCTCAGTGTCTGGCATCTTATCCTGCCAGGTCACCTTCAGAATCTTCCTAAGACAATTCAAATTAAAGCAATTGTTTCCTGGCTTGGCACTGTCCAGGTTTCACAGGCATGCAACAGAGAGGTCAGCACAATGGCTCTGTAGACCTTCAGTTTGGTACTCAAGCTGATACCTCTTCTCTCCCACACTTTCCTTTGGAGACTCCCAAACACTGAGCTAGCTCTGGCAATATGTACTTCAACTTCTATCAATGTGTACATCCCTAGAAAGTATACTACCAAGGTAAATGAACTTATCCACAGTATTCAAAACTTCTCCATTTGCTGTAACCAATGGTTCCACGTATGGATGGTGTGGTGCTGGCTGGTGGAGAACCTCTGTTTTCTTGGTGTTAATTCTTAGGCAGAATTAGCACAAGCAGCAGAGAATTGATCCATATTTTGTTGCATCTCAGCTTCAGAGATTGCATTGAATGCACAATCATCTGCAAACAAAAAGTCACACACCAACTCTCCTTCCACTTCAGTCTCTGCTTGTAGCCTTTTCAAGTTAAATAATTTGGTATCAGTGTGGTAGCTGACCTTCATGCCACGTTCATCCTCATTAAAGGTGTCTGACTACAGGGCTGAAAATATCATGGTAAGAAGCATGGGAGCAAGCACACAGCCCTGCTTTACTCCATTGGTGACATCATCCATTAACCAGAACCCAGCCAGCATGCCATCATGGAACTAGCACGCAATACTGATGAACTTCTCCAGGCACCCAAATTTTGCCCTGTACTACAACAGTATTCATTGGTAGAGTTCATTTTTCTCCTGCAGCATGTCCATATTGGAACAGTGCAGCAGGTCAGCCAAGTGAACTCTGTCCTGGCCAGCAGACTGGGGATAGGAGATGGATGCCAGGGCAGACCTCTCTCATTGGTCTAATTAGTCTTTTGACGGCCCCACAATGAGTGCTTAGTGTACAGCAGCCCCACTCAGTGTGACAGCTCAGCCTGTAGAACTGCGTGTCTCCATATTTAAGGGTTCGAACATAAGGGTTTCTGTGTGCTCTCTGGGTGTGTCCAGGCAGCTCTCCGGTCAGTCAGTCAATAAGCATTTATTAAGCACCTACTATGTGTCAGGCATGGTGTTAAGCACTGGAAGTACAAAGAAAGGCAAAAGACAGTTCCTGCCCTCAAGGATATCCCAGTCTAATGGGAGATAGCATGCAAACAACGTTGCACAGACAAACTTTTGACAGGATAAATCAGAGATAATAAAGAAAGGAACAGCAGGGGATTCTGTAAAAGGTGGGGTTTTAGCTGGGCCTCCAAGGAAGCAGGGAGGCGGGAAGGTGGAGGTGAGGAGAGAGCTCTCCAGGCGTGGAACCCAGAGATGGAGGGCCTTGTTTGTGGAATAGCCAAGAGGCCGCTGTCACTGGATTAAAGAGTACGTGGTGAGAAGTGAGGCGTAAGAAGACTGGGAAGGGAGGAGCAGTCAGTCTGAAGGGCTTTGAATGACAGAACATTTTGTGTTTGATCCTGGAGGTGACAGGGAGTCACCGGAGGCTACTGAGTAGGAGTGGGGGGTAGGGGGGACGAGGTTGGGCTGGGCTATAGGAGAATCCCTTTGAGGCAGGCAGACACCCCCCCCCCCCCATGTGAAGTGATGAGAGTCGAGAGCCCTGGCAGTGTCAGAGGAGAGAAGGGGGCATGTCAGAGGGATGTCACGCAGATGAAATCTACAGCCCTTGGCACCATATTGGATGGGAGAAGAGGTATGAGGTAGTGAGGAGTCCAGGATGACTCCTGAGGGCCCCAAAACCTCTATTGTAATGGGTGGGCAGGGCTTAGGGGGAAAGATAATGAGTTCTGTTTTGCACATATGGAATTTAAGACTGGATGGGGGAGGCAGCTAGATGGGGCAGTAGATAGAGCACCTAGAGTCAGGAAGGCTCTCCTGAGTTCAAATCTGGCCTCAGACACTTACTAATTGTGTGGTCCTGTCTGCCTCAGTTTCCCCATCTGTAAAATGAGCTGGAGAAGGGAATAGTGAACCACTCCAGTGTCTCTGGCAAGGAAACCTCAAATGGGGTCACCAAGAGTTGAATACAACTGAATGACAACAGCTGGACATACAGAGGTGTCTGAAGGGCGGCTGGAGAGATCAGATCAGAGGTCAGCACAACGACTGGGGCAAGACGAGTAGATTTGAGAATCCTCGGTGTAGACATGGTCCTTAAATCCATGGGAGTCAATGAGGTCACCAAGGGAAAGAGGATGGAGGGAGAAGAGGGCCCTGGACAGAGCCCTGAGGGACACCCCACGTTAGAGGGCATGGTCTGGAGACAGAGGAAGAGCGGTCAGAGAGGAAGGAGGACAGCCAGCAGGGGGAGGGGGTCTGGAAACCTGGGGAGAGGAGAGGAGAGGAGCAGAAGGCTGCTGAGGGCCCCTGGGGGACCCCCGCCCCAGAACCTCCAGAGCAGGAAGAGGCAGCCTTCTGGGGCAACATGTCTAGCACCTCTGGTCCCAACCTGCCCATCAGGTGGGGAGCTGGGGAGATAGCCCTGGAGAGGGTCTTCGGCTGCCTGCTTAGGACACCCAGGTACCTCTGGCCCCGGCCTCTGGCCGCCTCTGGCGGGGAGCCTCTGGCCGTCTGGCGGGGGCACGCTCTGGCCGCCTCTGGAGGGGGGGCCTCTGGCCATTGGGGGGGGGGGCGCCTGTGGCCGGCGTCGCGGGCCAGCTCGGGGGGGGGGGCCCCTAGCCAAAGACCGGAAGAGCGGCGGGTAGGGAAAGGGGGTAGATCCC